CATACAGTTTGTGAGGATTACACGATCCACCGAGAGGCACAGCAAAGTGCTGCCTCATCGCGCATTTCCTCCATGTATTTGAACGGGTCATACGGAAATTCTGCTATTCTTTATTGAAAAAAAATCCTTCAACATCGGATTCGAACGGCAAAAGGGCCTACAACACACACCAGCCGACAAATATTAACATTTATTATATTTTATGGTTAACTTTTTTTCTTTTCAAGATTGACAGGGGAGGCTCTGCCTCACCTGCCTCACCTGCCTCCTTTGACCGCACGTCACTGGTGTGCACTTCTATCACTTACATGATTAAATATAATTATACTAAACGTTAATCTAAACCTTAGACCATATTTTACATTCAAATCATTAGTGTACAAACATCCAACACTATGTTGGATATACAGTTCTAGTATGCCTGTGAAGATTGTTAGTAGACCCCCTGATCGATATGATAGTTTTATATTACAAATTCTACATTCTCTCTTTGGGCTGTCTATACTATTAAAATGCATATAAATGCTACTACGTTGGCGAGTGTCACTCTTTTGCTGTTCGGTTGGTACTTAAAGTACATGTTAGTACTAATAATGTTTTACTTTTAAATAACATTTTGAATGCAGGGCTTTTACTTGTAACAGAGTATTTTTACACTGTGGTATTGCTATTTTTACTTAAGTAAATAATGACATATGCTAAACTCTGAGTTCATATATATATATATATAAGAGCATGTTCACAACCTTTTCATGACCAGACTGTATGTTTTATTAAGATGACATACAGACTAATTAATCCATACAAACAATGTGCTTTTGTTCTCAGCTTTGCTTATTTTATTTATAGTATAATATACACTGTTTGTACTGTGTGAGATAAGAGACAGAATGAAAATGAGAGACAAAGCAATGCTAGCTTTATTGTCTCCAGCTGTATAAAGGCATAAGTGCTTAAAAAAGCAAACAAATTACAACAAATAGTAAACCCTTTCATACTGTAAATGCATAAGGGTGTTTTGATGGGAACCTTCCTAAACATATGCTGTTCTGTCATCTCATGGTTCCCAACTCATTCAGGCACATTATAGCCCTCGTCCAAACACAGTGCTTACTGACTGTGCATCAAAACTCATTTTAATTCTTGAGGATTACTGCATAATAAGATCTGAGAAAAAAGAGTAAATAAATGCAATTAAAGCAGAAAAAGATCCAAATCAGACACATCTTACAGATGATCTAAAATGATATAATCAGCTGTTTCACTTACTGAGATAATAATGGCTTCTGTCTTATTAACATGATTAATATTGCATTTTGAATTTCAAACTTTTTGTCCCCTTACAGCTCTAGAAATCTTTGCATTTATAATTAAACCAATACAGGTTACATCATCCAGTCTACACATTTAACAGACCAGTGAAATGGGCTGTAGAATCTCAGAAGTCAAATCCAGAGAGGGGCCATCTATGAGGGTAACAAAGAAGTTCTGTCAGGTGATCGTGGCACTTTAACTCGATCTCCAGTTTTCAACAGGCTGGACCCAAGGGGCCAAACGACAGAGCAAACCATACATTTCTCTAGTGTGTGGATATGTGTGCATTTATACTGTATCTCCGGTTGCCCCTGAGGTGCAGGCACTTTGTGGTCCTGCCCCTGTTCTTCTGCTAGGGCTTCTGGGAGTTGCTGTCCATTCTGTTCATCTATTTGTGTATTGGTTTCCTCCTCTTCTGTACTTACATCACGTTTAGTGTCCTGTTAGCTGTTACCATAGCAGTGTTCTGCAGAGTTTCTCAGCTCCTCTCCTACTGTGGAAATGGGCTCCGCATACACGTAACTCTCACAGCTTTGCACACAGTGTATTTATGTCCATTTTGACATCTATTAATTTGTCATAGTTGGGTTAGGGCTTGTTACTTTCAGAGTCTCTCAGGTGGAAACTTTGGAAAGGTTTTTCCCATCGCTTGTTTCTTTTTGGAAAACGCTGGACGCAGACACGAACTACTTCCTACAATGCGCAGATGAAGAAGGAAGGAGAATCAACAGTTGATTTTACTAGTGATGTGTAAATGAAGCAATAACCACTTTATCAGTTGTCTCGAAAATGGGTTCATTCATTCAAAGCTTCGTTACAGTGACATCTAGTGGCGAAATAGGAGACAGCAAAACTGTGTTAATAATTATATGACGAGTGTAACTAGGGTTTGTGTGAAAGATGTAAATACATTTTTGTAAAGATTAACTGATTGGTCGGTCAGTTGATTCTATAAACGTATGTAGTGTAGTAGTTGGGAGAAGGCGTGCTTGGGGAAACAGGATGTGCTAGGATGGTAGTGTGTGTTTGTGTAACTAGTGCAGGGTGTGATGTACGTAGGATGGCGATTTATTAAGAAACGAAGCAGTATCGGTGGCGGTAATGCACCTTAAGTTGGCTTGCAAACCGCCAATAAACATAATGATAAGAAGAAGAAGTCACGTGATTCACTCGGTCACGTGTCCTTTTCTGCACCAAACCAAGCTTTGAAGCAGCGGTTTAAGTAAAACGCTGCTTCGAGTTTGAATCTTTATCGGAGAATCTGTGTCAGACAGTCATCACTACTCTAAGACGGGAGTCAGCTTTCATCGTTCACACATAAGATCCCGATAAAGTCCACTCGTTTGCGACTGAAAGCATCACAAATTTTAATACAGATCTATAAAACATCTGCATGGACCTCTCTCGATCAGCGTGATACGGTCATCTTCGAGCGTATGTTTTACTGATCTGTGACGTATATATTAAGTGCGTGAGTGCACATTTGTGACCTGTACGTAAGCAGCCTGCAGCTTAGTTTAGTCCAAACATGTTTATCGACGGGTTACAATGGCGAACCCACGTAAGATGCGGCACGGCAGAGTGGCCTGTCGTTAGCTCTTAGCGTAACTTTAATCTACTTGAAATGGGTGAACACGCCTATATTTCACGACGCTGGCAGTTGAAGTAGAGGTGAGTAACGTTAGCTTATTATCTTAAAAACGCGATAACGTTGCTTCAAACGGTGACTTAAGGCTAGCTAGCTAGCTAGCTAACGTACCCAGCTAAATTGCACTCTGATGTTGTTAGCGTTGAAAGATAGCATAGTTCTATTAGTGCATTGGTTAAGTACTTTGAATTTGAGCGTTTCCTCTTCTCGGGTTGGGCTTCAAGTACATTTATTTTTGTATTAAACAAAGTTGGCCAACTGATAGTGAAATAAAATAACAATGTACGACAAATTTCGTACAGTATCTTTTGAGTTGTGACAGTTGATCTGCAGGTGTTGAAATGGTTTAAAAAGCACCACGGTTGTCCCGACAAAAGATGTGATATAAATTCATGCAACCGATAAGTAGAATGTTTTGCTAAGTACACGATTTGCACTGATATTTTTCATACTTACCATATGGCCGTGGGATTTTTTAATAGTTTTACATATGAAATTAAAAATGTGTTGACTGACTGACCCTCGTAGAAACTGAAGTTTTTTTTTAGCTGCAGAATTTAGTGAAGCAGTGTAAACTAATCTGACTGTTGTTCATGTCTTTTTCTCACCCCCTTGTCTCATTACTAGGATGACTATGATATAGGTTTAGCATATTTAGCATGAGATTACATGCTGAGCCTGCTTGCAACGTTGTGAAAGTTAAGCGAAGGTGACAAAGAGACCCCCACAGTCTCATTAGCTGCGGTATATAGGCACCAATGCAGTGAGTTCGACTTGTCTGGCAAAACAGCTTATTGGCCTGACTTATCCGGAGCCAAGTGGCTATAACAAACTGACAAAGTGTTATTTCCTCGGGTCTTCCCTGAGGAGATTTCTTAAGTTGCTTTCCTTGCTTTTATTCCATTTCACTATCGGCTGATTAAATGTTATCTGCTACTTCCCGTGCCCTTGTGTAGGAGTAGGCCAGGAGGCGAGGCTCCCACTGGCTGTATGGTGGGACTGCAGACATGCACTATACAGATAAGCTATCATTATGTTTCAGCGACCCCATTATAACAACTCCGCCTAGATTTACCCAACTCACATGCATGAAGGACGCCTTGTTGGACTTTAAGGACTGCAATTAACAATTATTTTCATTACCCATAGTAGGTTAATCATATTGTTTTGGCACTTATGACTTTATTACACATTAGGGACTGGTCTGCTTTTAGACATTTTGCCTTTTTTTTTTCTGAACGACAACAGTGTAAACTCATTTATTTTACTTTTTTTCAGCATTGTTGATTAACACTTGTTTAACCTAAGAGCAGGAGTCACACTGTGACATAACAGGATACTGAACCAGTCACAAACTCAGTGTCAGGTTGCTGATCCTGGGATGCTGACACTCCTCCTTAGTCACTGCAGGGAGACAGGGCCTAGCTACAGTGTTTGGTCGGGTCAGAAAAGGCCTTTTGTGAAATTTGCTTAAAGTAAATGGTGTTCTCAGTGTGATGTAGTATTTTACCTATCGATAATATTATTTTATTTGTGTTACAGATGGGCACGATGGGGGAACGGGTCGTCGGTGGCCCCGTGGTTGCAATTTCTCCAGTGCAGCAGATGCTGGCCTCTGGCACTGGAGCCCTTCTGACGGCTGTATTTGGTAAGGTCATAGACCCATGACTTAACGGTAGCTGGTTTGTTTGTTTTTTGTTGTTTTTTTCCCCATCAGGTTTGCCACAGTATTTAGTAATTCACACTAGGTAAAACTTTTTATTTTTGACAAACACCTCTAATTTTTGGTCATTTGTGGATTAACAGTTAGTGTAACAATTGTCAAATTAATTGCAGATTTTTTTTTTCTATTAATTATTCAATGCATTTATAATTTTCACCCACTTGGTTTATTGTTTTCAAAGTCTTATCTAATTCTAATAATTGAATCAGTAAACTAATTTGTCTGCAGTCACACCGCTGGACGTTGTGAAAATCCGGCTGCAGGCTCAGCAAACACCGTTCCACCAAGGTAGGACAGGGATCTTATATTGACTCCTCTGTGACTTTAGATTATACATTAGCTTAGGTAATGAACCACTGACTTTGCTTTTAACAGCTGCTTGTCTGTGCCTTGTTTAACCCACTGTTTTCTAACTTTACTACAGTTGTCCTTTGTGCTTTTTGCATTGTCCTCATCTCTGTCTTTTATCTGTCCTGCCTTTTGCTTTGTTTCACAGCTTTAGCCTGTGAATCTGCTCCATGGGGTGGCGTCATTCGCCCTTCAAAGTGTGAGTATCTGACCCACCCACTGCATTCTAAAACTTGGCTGCTGTTTGAAAACACTGTGGCACAGTGGTACAGCACAGATTTCTGTGTACGACCATGTGCTCAACTAACAAACATCTCTTTCCAGTAAAAAAGCAAACCAAAAATTTGGCAATGTGCATGCTTTGTTTCACTCCTTGGCCCATTACTTAATACGTGAATCTTATCTGCCTGACCTACAACTGCAGTTTCATGTTGTCATAAACGGTCCTACAGCTTGAGCACTCCAACAAACTAAAGACAACACTGACAGTGTTCCCTAGATGTACCCCGCTCCTCAAAATTTAACCTTTCTTCTCAGAAGATTTTTCTGCTTATGTCCCTTGTACTTGTGCTGTTTCTTTTGGTATTACCACAGGTCAATGTACTCCAACAAACTAAAGACAACACTGACGGTGTTCCCCAGATGTACCCCGCTCCTCAAAATTCAACCTTTCTTCTCAGAAGATTTTTCTACTTCTGTCCCTTGTACTTGTGCTGTTTCATTTGGTATTACCACAGGTCAATGTTTATAGTAGGAGCAGGTTGTGAAATGATTCTTTGAGGGTTTTGGCAACAGTTTATCCCAAACCAGCCTTAAATAAACAGGCAGGGTAAGCGGTGACAAGGACAGCCCTGGTGTTACCTTGGCAGTGGCTCTTTGGTTGTTGCCATCATATGTACAGTATTATTAATCACCTTCCTCTGTTGTGTAACTCACTTTAGAAAACATGGATACTACAGATTTTGTCATTCTAATTACACTGATATATTGCACCACAAAGTTGTTTTTTAATAAATTATTTTGTGATCGTCTGGAAAATCTGAAGACCTGGGCCATGCAGTTATTATACGCTGTCAACTGCTGGTTCTGTTTCTTACAGGGAAGTGCTTCCTGTATTGTAACGGACTGATGGATCACATCTATGTTTGTCAGAACAGAACCAGTTCCACCAGCTGGTATAAAACATCAACACATTTCAGTGGGACTCTTGTGAGTACTAGCATAGGGGCTGCACACATAGGCAGCTTTGTTTTAATTACAGTTTATTTTCCCCAGAATATGATTTGAGATTTTTCACATTTGTTTGCTTGCTTGTGCCACAGGATGCTTTTGTGAAAATCGCTCGCTATGAAGGACTCAGGTCTTTGTGGAGCGGGTTGCCGCCAACACTGTGAGTATCAAAACTCTTGTCCAGAAAATGTTGAAATTACTTGGAGAATAAATGTGTCAGAACTGAAGAGCAGCATAGAGTGAATAAGGTATGGGGCTTCAGTGCATAGCAACACTGAAAGTGGCCGAAACCACTTTACTCTGATATTTGGTATTTTACCATTGTTTTACTTGGAGTATTTCCTTTATAAATCTAATATTTATTATTTAAATCCATGTATTCAGTTTAACTGTGTTAATTGTACTTCCCCAGGTTATTTCTGTAGTTACTGAACATGCCTCTGTCTGCATTGTTTACTGCCTGTCTATATTGTTAATTTTGCATTGTTTGCACTGTTTATTGCTTGTTAATACTGTTTATTTTGTTATACTACACAGCCTTATGTTGGTTTACT